CATTTTTGATAACGTGTTATCTCTAACGTACATAATCAAAATGACACAAATATTGCTTAGATAATCTACGAACAAGTACCAATATTCGCCTGTTTTATATTCTCACTGAAACGAGATGTAACAAAATACTCAAAAGGTTCGTTCGGACATGGTTTTTCTTCATATTCTCTCGGTTGATATTGTGTATGGGGAGGAAGATGCAATAAAAGAAAAATAATCGGAATATAGATGTATTTTCGATTTAATGGGAAAGAGAGAGAGAGAGAGAGAGAGAGAGAGAGAGAGCTAGAGAAAGAGGAAAGCGCGCTCATTTTGCTATTTCCATTGAATTAATTGTGTTGTTTTCATTCGCCAAAAGGAATGAATCAAATGCAATAATCTCCTGAATATTTGCACCCGAAATGCGTTTTAATTTACGAGGAAATGGTGTTTAAGTGCACAGCTCTCTTATCGTTATGAGCTATTTAATGTTTGCTCCATATGGTTTGGTGGCAGCAAGCAATATATGTTTGAATTATTTGCATCTTCTTCATTTCTTTATCACATCGAATAAAGTTAAGTGAGAACTATTTGGTACATGCGTGTCTCATATTTTAAAGAAAACATTTCACTTTTTATGTACCCAATAATTCTTTGTCTCGATAATTGAAATGTGTGCATTCTGCATTGAAATTATTTTTTGCACAAGAAAATCGGCAGGCATACACTGGATTGCAGCGATATTATAATGGTAAAATATCCTCCCGATATCCGTGTGATGAATGCGATGGAATTACGATTTGTTCGATGTGAGATATTGCCACTAACGCTTAATATTATCGCTGAACATAACTCGATCGGTTACAGTTGCTTTATTGCGGCCACCGTTTTTTTTTTCATTCTTCTTTTTTCATTCTCTCGTTTCATTTAATTCCATATAAATTTTTCTTTCTATTCGTGAACGTTGCAGCAAATTGTCATTGTCATGGAGAAATCAGTGGAATCTTCGTCGACATGCTCGACTTTTTGTCGTCCTTTATTGAAAAGATGAGGAGAAATAAGAGAAATACGAAGCGGAATAAGGATGATTGTCGTACGGCCGTTTTAAGTTGGACGATTTTAGCAATGATAGAGAGAACATTGTATCATTCAAGAGATCGACGGTATCAAGAGGTAAGCGCATCTCATTCAATGCCAAATGATTACAATTCATGTACGGCAAACACACTCTGTCTCTCACAAACATACACGGAAAGAGAGAGAGAGAGAAGTGAAATAAAGAAATCATTTAAAAGAGAGCGATAAATTTAAACTTAAAATATAATCAATTCTGGGCTTTGTCATCGCAGCAACAGTACTCCGTGCTTTTCGCTTCGCTTTCGCCAGTCAACCAACTGGAAGCAAAAGCATTTAAGATGAAAAATAATAATCGGTGAACGGGAAAAGGAGAGTGGAAGAAAGCATTGGTATAGTTTGAGAGCAAAAGCCTCGATGTCTCGATTCGCCTTGCTATTTTGAAGCAAACGGAAAGTTTGCATATTCGTTCTTTAGACAAAAATGTTTTGTGTTTCAATGTGTCTTTTGTGGATGGCAAAATCGGGCGGTATTTAAAGAAAACGAAGAAGAAAAAATCGCGCTAGGCATCGGCCACGGTGAATTAGAATGTTCGATTTATGTTGCCAAAAAAGGGAGCTTTGGGAGCGAGAAAAAGAAATGTAGTCATTCCTTTTCGACATTTTCGGAGTCTTGTCTTCTGTGTTCCCATTCCTTTTGGATGGATAATTGGATTTAGTTCAGTATGGAAATTATTATTCAACGCTATTTTTGCACTGCCGCGTCGAAATCACCAATCGAACAGGACACATTTACCCTAAATCCGGAAATAAATTTGTTATTTTTCGATTTCTCTCTGTCTCTTCATCTCTCTCACTCTCCTGCTGTGGTCGTTTGCCGTTCCGTTTCTGGCCTTCGATGAAGATCCACCGCAAAACAGAATCCAAAGTATACATGAATCGAAACGATTTTCCCAGCAAAAAGCGAACGATTTAAAAAAAAGAGAGTGAATGAGATAGAGAGACAGAGAAAAAAAAACGACGAAAATCAAAGGCATTTCAACCTCTTAACGCACGAGCAACGATAGCGGAAAATGTAGGAGCAACTTGAGAACGAAGAAGAAGAAGATGAGAAGAAAAAAAAATGAAAAGAGAGTAGAATGATATCAAATTAATATCTGTCTACTAAATGTGATTAATAACGGTATTTAAGTGGTTTGGCATTCTATTCACTATTTCTTTGTCGTTTTCATTTCGCCGCTTTGGCCATACCGACCGACGATTTTTATTTGGGCGTTGTTGAGTTTGCAATCATTTTGCTGGGTTTTCTTCTTCTATTTTTTTTTCTATCTTGCTGTTGTTGTTAGAATATGGGTGTTTCCTCTTCACTACTACCACTCTCTCATTTCAATTCGCTGCATTAAATACCAAATGTAGTTTATTTATACAAATTTTTAGAAGAATTCTTCATTCTTTTCCCATCTTTTCTTCCTTTTGTGTGTACTGCCGTCGCCGTCGCCGTCGTCGTCGTCGTTGTTGTTGTTGTTGTTGTTGCAGTGTTGTTTGCGTAAAAGAGCAATAACAAAAGGAAAAGTTGAGAGTTTTATGGAGGGCGAAAGCGTAATCGAAATGCCAGCTTGTGAATCATATTTAAAGCGCACTTATTTTGCTTTTCACTCGTAATTTTCGTTACTTAAAAGATCATATTTTATGTTTTCAAAAAAAAAAACGTAGGAAAGCTAGCTCGCACGTTCCCTTTCTCTCCATTCATTCATCCATCGTGTGCGTTTACATTTTCCCGTTTTCCGGGAAAATGTTTAATTTCGCACCAGAGATTGAAAAAAACGAAGCAAATGTGTTTGGCGGACAATGTAAAGATTCAAACATTTGTTACATTGTTTTTGACTGGTAGCCGAACGAAGGAGGAGAGCGTTTTTCCAACCGAAACTCTGTACAGAAATCTGAGCAAAGTTATTAAGTTTTGTGTGGTTTGTTTTTGTACTGTGTGGTGGTGTGTTTCTTTGCTTACCTGTGTCAATATCAATGTGCGCTGCATACAACGCTTGTCCGATTTTATTTATCGAAATAATATTGCAGTTTTTGTGCGAGAAGAAGAAAAAAAAATATCCAAAAAGTTTTCTGTTTGATGTTTTCGATTGGGATTTTTTTTTACTTTATTTCTGTTTCTCTTCTCGGTTCTCTCTCGTGCTCTCTTCCTCTTCCCTTTTCAATTGTTTGTTTTTCTGTCTGCTATTTTTTTTATAAAACTCAATCACTATCACTATTTGCAATATATCCACCGTTGAAGCTCGATGCTTTCGATGTTGAGCGGCTCAGCGAACAAGCGAGCACTGATTTTAATTTATATATGTATGAATATAGCTCTATCTCTTTCTTTGCCTCACTTTTGACCAAAATGAGTTTTACCAGTTGGTGGATGAATAGAAGCAGACGTTGCACTGAAAGCACATTTTGCTATTGTTGTTGTTTTCTTTATCAACTTTTTTCCTGTATGTGTGTGTGTGTGTGTGTGTGTGTCAGTGCCTTTTCAGTTTCAATTCACTGAAGGATAAATTCGATTGTTAGTTGAGTTATTAAATTTATCTCACTCACTCACTCACTCACTGTGTATTTCAATTCTTTTGTTGGGCATGTACTTTCACCGTCTTTGATGTCTTCTAGTACCTTCTGTTGTGGTTATTATTATATTTATTTTTGCTGTTATATTTTGTTTCTTTATTTTTTGTACAGTTTTATGACGTCGTTTCTGCACACAATGATGCACACATATATATATATATATATATATATATATATATATATATATATATATACAATTACGAAGATAGAGAAAGAAAGACGAACAAACTTCTTTTCGATACTTTTGGTTAAAGAACTGTCGATTTTTCTATATTCGACAAAGTCGACGATGTTTGCTTTTTAAATGTATGACAGACAAGTTTAAGAAAACCATGCAAAACATCACTGTGTCACTTCGCCACACTGCAACGCCAGCACTAGCTGCAATCGCACTATGACTTTTTTTCCGTTCAGATAGGGCAGATGCCTTACAGGGGGTCGACACCAGACGAATGAACGACCGTCACTGCAACACAAAACTACTCTGCGCTATTCGCTTCTGCTTTTTTTTTGCTGTTATTCTCTGCTTCGATTGAACATGTAGCACTTTGTCACGAGCCAAATAGTGTGCTCGATGCTGTGATTTGTTGTACACAAAACCGAAACAAACAATAAAAGAAATTGGATTTGCTTGTTACTTGTTTGTGTTCGTTATGTTTATTCACGGGGAACGAGTGAGAAAGAGTATGTGTCAGTTGTTTTTACACGGTTTTACTGTTGTTGCGATTTTATTTGTCGATGTCTTCGTTCACAAAGAATTATTTCAAATTAAGCAAAAGTTTTCATCTACTGCTTCTTGATTCTTTTACAGTTTTACTGGTGTGTTTGTGTGTGTTTGTGTTTGTTGTTGGTTTATTCGTTGCTTTTCACGTTTCCGGTCGCTCAATTCGTATTCGCTTTTTGATTTAGTGTTTGTGATGCTTTTTTGCTCCAAAATTGTTTTGGCATACGTTCAACATTGATTCAAACGGGCACCGAGAAGAGTGAGTTGATTTTTGTACACTAACCGAAAACAATAATAATGAACCGGTAAAGAAGAAGGAAATCAAACGAAACAAAGTGAATGCTTTTTATTTCTGTGGGTGTAGCGAAAATACGGATGCAGTCCCCCCAATTGAAGTTTTCAACAACAGATGGGAGAAAGGAAAAAAAAAACTTGCAACGAACAAACTATAAAAATAAATGGATTTTTTGCGCTTTTATCAATAGCATATTTTCATTGCGTACCAACATTGCATTTCAATTGACATTTTTAATTGGACGCATTGATTTCAATTCGAGTTTTATTTGCTCTTCTTTTTTTTTAAACTAACCACAATGAACTCTTACCCCTTTTTTTCATCAATTTTGCCTTTTTTTAATACACTAAATTTTCAGTCAATGTTGTTGAGTTGATTGTAGAGTCTATTTTTCCGAGTATGATTATTTTCTCTTTTTTAATTTCTTGTCGAAATTTTCCGTATTTAAACGTTGATTTGATCGTGACCTTTCATGTTTTTCACTTAATCAATTTTTAACCATATTACTGTACTCAATGGTCACCAATAAGATCGCCCAGTTCTGGATAAGCATATAGAGCTGGTTGAATTTTCAATCCTGGAAAAGAGAAGAAAAAAACATAATCCTTTTAGAATATATTCTCATGCATGTGATTTTCATCATAACAAAGCAAAAACGCAAGCGAAAGAGAAAAATAATAACGCACGAAATGGCCTACGAATGTCAAAGCCAACGGCATACAAGAATCACTAGAATAACTCTTAAAGACTCTTTTTTTTTTCATTTGATTCTGTTTCTTTCTTCTTTTCACTATGTGTGTGTGTGTGCTTGAGACCTTTTTTCGCCCTTGAAGAAGGGAAAAAATTACGGCTCTCATGCATAATACCGCTTGATATTTCATTCATCTTTTTATATAAATTTTTTCTCATCTGAATCTCAATCGTATTCATTGTTGGCTGTGTTTGGGTTGTGGTGCGGTGACTCGCTCGCTCGTTCGTTTGGAACGGTGGTGTGTTTGTGATATTTCATCTTAAGTTAAAAGTGCTTTTTGAATCTCTGTCGGTGGTAAAATTGAAACTGCTTTCCGCACGCCGTTGGAGGTAAAACGGCTGAAGTGCGTACATCATCTGCATGTATGGAACCGAGAAACGAAAGCAAGACACTGACTCAGAGAGGGAAAGAGCGAGAGAAATGCCGAGGCCAAACTGCTTTAATCCAATAGGCTTCGAATTTTGAGCGAATTTTCCATGATATTTTTTTTATCATTTTCATGCATTTTCCTTTGTGTTGTCTAAAACGAACACAAGTGGAACGGCCAAAGAAAAAATTGGGGTCTTCTTCTTTTCTGCCGATGATTGCGATAATATTATTCGGATGCCATTGTTATATGGAATCCAATGGAGTTTAGTTATGTTGTGAAAATAGCCCATCGAAATGAAGGAAGCTCTAGGTGGAATTACCCATACACGGCTTTAATACTCATCTCTTTTTTTCCCATCCAGCAGCTTTCGATTAGAATGTTCATCCGATAACGGAATTTTCAAGTAGTTGACAAAATTTATGATGTAATTTGGTGCGGGCAGATGATGCGATGGAATAACTACACTCGATTGAGCCACACCCATATGAATCGAATGAAAATGCCAATAAATTGAGTAAAATAAAATGAATTTCTGTTGACTTCATTTGAATAATGTACACATTAGTCAATAGAGTGGAAGATGGGATCGAGGAAAAAAGAAGAAAAAAACAAACAAAAGAAAGCAGCAACGAGACAATCAGGTCAAATTGTTTTCAAAATGTACATAGTTCATAAGCTTCCGAATGGAATACGTTTATCAGACGGTTCAAGAAGCGACCAAAGTGCTTATGCACCAAATATGCACGCTGAAAAAGCGCAGACGAACGGCAACTTTTTTGCAACACATTCACCCAAAACGGAGCATTGATAGTGGTATATGCAGTGGAAGATGGAGGGAGGGGGAAAGGAAGGACGGCAAAAGTTTATGTGTGTGCAATGGAACAGAGCGAAGAGAAAAAAAATGGCACATTGCAACTTTATTTTTCACAAATCATGTTGTTTTTGTTTTGTCGAAGCGAAATCAATGTTTGACTCATCGCTTATTGTTATTGTTGTTTGGATCTGCGAGAGAGAAAGAAGCAGAAAGAGAGAGAGAGAGAATCACAGAGCGAGAAACAGAAGCAGAGAGATAGAAATTGATATGCAACGAGATGGTAGAGTGCTTGGAATATTTTTGCAAACCGCTTTAACGAATGTCTGTTTGTTTCCTTTATTCGTATGGCCGATTATGACAATCGTTATTTGTGGGCGCGCACACGAGCTGCGAAATTCTGCCATTGTTTTGTACATAAGCACATCCAAAAGGAAAAAAAAAGTGCTCTCGGTTCTATTTTCTCTTTCTCTCACTCTCTTCTCCAGCATCAGTTTCTTGTTTTTCCGTTATTACTCTTTATCGGGTTTATTTACAATTCATCTCAGTGTTTGCGAGAACCGAGACATAATTTAGTTCGGTAAATGTGTTCGTGTGTTGTTGTGTATTCGGTATGCATGTGGCGTTTTGTCGTCCACTCTATCTCTTGCCGACGACATAAATGTGTAGCATTTATGTGCGAAAAACAAATAAATATCATTATTATTGAAGCGGAATTATCATAATCGCATGAATTTGCATTGTATTTATGCACAAAACTCTATTTCACTTCGTTCGATAATCTTTCGGTCTAGGATGTTTGCTTGCCATAGAAAAAAAAAGACTCGATGTGTTTGTGTGGCTGTGTCGGTTGGTCGGTCGGTCGTCGAAACCATAAAAAGTTTGTTTAAGAATTTTGTTCATTTCATTTTTGATGGAAAGAAAAAGATTGAACAATTTTTTTTCTTCCTTTCTCTCGGCTGTCGAAAGGCAAAGCCAAAATATGGAAAATCGAATGCTGGAACAGAAGATATTGGCTGGACGATATATCTCGTTTGATGTATCACCGAAAACCGAACGATCGTCTGAAAGAGATGATACAGTCAGTGTAGACCAAAATCACAATGAACCGAACAACAACAACAACAACAACGAAAAAAATTGCTGTATTCAAATCGAAGAACAATACACCACCGTTTCGGTATATGTTTTCAAGCGATAACTTGATATGTTCACATTTCGTCGGCGAGCTGCGAAAAGATGTACGAAATACTGTAATGTGCTTAGTTGAGCGGCGACATATAATATTGGCTTTGGTTTTTGGTTTCGTTATGAATTTTTGCGACATTATCGCTTGCTCTTGCTCTATCCCATTCGTTCACTCGTCACAATTTTCTTTCATCGCATCCAAAAACAACAACCGTTTGCGGTAGACATTTGCGAAAAGTTCTTTTGGCCCAAACGGCCCATTAAGGCTTGAACGTTCGCTCCTTTACATATGTGGAACTGCCATTTTTCATAACACGACCTATATTTTCTTTCGTTTCTTTTCTTTTTTATTAGACTGAGAATGCTGCTGCTGCTGCCGCTGATGCTCGGAGAGACAACTCGATTTTCGAACGAGCAATTTTTTTTATACATTTCATCATTGTTGCTATTCTAATGCAGATTTCAGAATATCCAAAATGATTATCTATTGTTGGGTGTGCACAAGATGAAGAGAAAGAAAAAGATTGTGACAGACATTCAGCAACGACAACGAATGGATAATTCGTTTAGGAGACACTCGCAAAAAAATGGCATCTTTAAATGGCAATAAAATAAAATTGAGATTGAGAGCGCAAGAGAGAAATGAAATCTGTTTATGGGGCAAAGGCCAAAGAAGAATTGTCGGTTGGCATTAGCCAATTTCTCAATATATGCACATTCAGCGCCATTAATGAACTAATATTTACATTGCCAATTCGAAATAGATTTGGCCCATTCCAGCGTCAGTGTTGTGATCTTCGCCAAATGGATGAGGGATTCACGAACAGCAAAGACATTCAAAACGCCGGCCATAATTAATTTCACTTCAGCTATGTGTGTGTTATTTACAACCCGCACTAATAATGAATGTATGCATTTGCGTCAAACCCACGCACGCACACACACATACACACACACACAAAAGACAATGCCGAAGGAACGACGATATAGTGAAAAGAACGGAAAACGATGAATATATCTCATCACATTGTACGAGTGCTTATGGTTTCGATACTGTTGTTGTGCGTGCTTGCGCTATCATTGCGCCAATTTCACTTGTTTTGTGCAATGGTTTCGATACAAGAAAATCGCGGCTCCAGAAGTGAAAAATCGATCAAAACAAAGCGAAAAGAGAAAAAAGCACAAGGGAAAAAAAGGGAAGAGAAACAAGTACCTAGGATTAAATTGGCGGCGATGTTTACTGTCGATAGTAAGTCGATTTGTTTGCCATTTGCCGCGTTCCGTATCACTGCTTAATAATATACTGACAAATCGATGGCAGAGCACAAATCTCTCCATTACTATTTTTGTGCGTGTGTGTTTGGTGCAAATACCAAGCTAACGAAATGCTTAGTCATTCGTTTTGTGCGCTGTATTTTTCTGTCTCTCTCTCTCTCTCTCGTTCGATCTCGATACGTCGTATCCTGTGTACTTTGAAATTGTTTCGCATTTTTCAGCGTAATGTCTGTGTATGTATGTGTGACTTTCCAATAAAACACCGACATCGATTCTTCCAACTATTCCAATGTTATAGTTTTATACGTAATGGCTATGGTTTGATGTCTGTGATTTGAAATGCGACCACCACCACGAATAGATGTGTGTGTGTGTGTGTGTGTGTGTGTGTGTGCGTTAATGTATGTGCACACAGCGAATGCGTTCATATTTTTATTTGTTTATTTATTTATTTATATATGGGATGCTTTTTCCAGTTCAACCGATATCGCGCTTCATCTCACTCCATCTCTCAATCCCATTCTACTCTCGATGTCTCTTTGCCATTTTCATCAGTTCAAGAGACAACGACAATAATATATACACTACGAGATACTATATCTATTTGACTTTTATAATAGTGAAATAGCTCCTGCTGGTGTCGTCGCCATCGTGTGCATCACTCTATCTCTCTTTCTTTCCCCCCTGTCTGTCTGTCTTTCTCTGCATCTCGTTCTGCTTTGCTCACGCTATCATTCGCTATTGTTGTTTCGAGCGCTGTAAATCGAGGTAATATATCTATTTCTATTCTGTACATTAGCCACAATATTGCTCGATAAATTATTAGCCGCACACCAACTACATCGACATCGTCACCGACGACGATGAATGCCATCTAAATTACAACAACAATATTTCAGCCACATTCAATCTGTTTACATCGAAAACGTCGTTATTTTTATTGGGGTTTTCATTTGCAAATTTCTGCGCGATGCGATTTTCCTCTCAGCAGAAGAATTTATCGATTCCGATTCCAATGTGGATTCTTCGAATGAAATTGCCATCAAGTTGGTAAAATGAATATTTGACTAGATATTATGTGTTCGAAGCGATTGAAGGCGGGGAGACACGTAAATGGTAGACAATTTAATTGGTCGGGTCAAATAATTGTAACAAATGCTCGACAATAATGCAAAAACTTAA